TCTTTCCTGCTTTCTCTTGTGGGCATTTAGTGCTATAAATTTCCCTCTACACACTGCTTTAAATGTGTCCCAGAGATTGTGGTATGTTGTGTCTTTGTTTTCATTGGTTTCAAAGAACATCTTTATTTCATTACATACCCAGTAGTCATTCAGGAGCAGGATGTTCAGTTTCCATGTAGTTGAGTGGTTTTGAGTGAGTTTCTTAATCCTGAGTTCTAGTTTGATTGCCCTGTGGTCTGAGAGACAGTTTGTTAAAATTTCTGTTCATTTACATTTGCTGAGGAGTGCTTTACTTCCAACTATGTGGTCAATTTCAGAATAAGTGTGATGTGGTGCTGAGAAGAATGTATATTCTGTTCATTGGGGTGGAGAGTTCTGTAGATGTCTATTAGGTTTGCTTGGTGCAGAGCTGAGTTCAAGTTCTGGATATCCTTGTTAACCTTCTGTCTTGTTGATCCATCTAATGCTGACAGTGGGGTGTTAAAATCTCCTATTACTATTGTGTGGGCGTTTAAGTCTCTTTGTAGGTCTCTAAGGAGTTGCTTTATGAATCCGGGTGCTCCTATATTGGGTGCATATATATTTAGGACAGTTAGCTCTTCTTGTTGACTTGATCCCTTTACCACTATGTAACGGCTTTCTTTGTCTCTTCTGATCTTTGTTGGTTTAAAGTCTGTTTTATCAGAGACTAGGATTGCAACCCCTGCTTTTTTTTTTTTTTTGTCCATTTGCTTGGTAGATCTTCCTCCATCCTTTTATTTTGAGCCTATGTGTGCTTCTGCATGTGAGATGGGTCTCCTGAATATAGCAAACTGATGGGTCTTGACTCTTTATCCAATTTGCCAGTCTGTGTCTTTTAATTGGAGCATTTAGCCCATTTATGTTTAAGGTTAATAGTTAAGTGTGAATTTGATCCTGTCATTATGACGTTAGCCGGTTATTTTGCTCGTTAGTTGATGCAGTTTCTTCCTAGCATTGATGGTCTTTACAATTTGGCATGTTTTTGCAGTGGCTGGTACCAGTTGTTCCTTTCCATGTTTAGTGCTTCCTTCAGGAGCTCTTGTAAGGCAAGCCTGGTGGTGACAAAATCTCTCAGCATTTGCTTGTCTGTAAAGGATTTTATTTCTCCTTCACTTAGGAAGCTTAGTTTGGCTGGATATGAAATTCTGGGTTGAAAATTCTTTTCTTTAAGAATGTTGAATATCGGTCCCCATTCTCTTCTGGCTTGTAGAGCTTCTGCCAAGAGATCTGCTGTTAGTCTGATGGGCTTCCCTTTGTGGGTAACCGGACTCTTCTCTCTGGCTGCCCTTAATATTTTTTCCTTCATTTCAACTTTGGTGAATCTGACAATTATGTGTCTTGGATTTGCTCTTCTTGAGGAGTATCTTTGTGGCGTTGTCTGTATTTCCTGAATTTGAATGTTGGCCTGCCTTGCTAGGTTGGGGAAGTTCTCCTGGATAATATCCTAAAGAGTGTTTTCCAACTTGGTTCTATTCACCCTGTCACTTTCAGGTACACCAATCAGACGTAGATTTGGTCTTTTCACATAGTCCCATATTTCTTGGAGATTTAGTTCATTTCTTTTTACTTTTTTCTCTAAACTTCTCTTCTCGCTTCATTTCATTCATTTGATCTTCAATCACTGATACTGTTTCTTCCAGTTGATCGAATCGGCTACTGAAGCTTGGGCATGCATCACATAGTTCTTGTGCCATGGTTTTCAGCTGCATCAGGTCATTTAAGGTCTTCTCTATGCTGTTTATTCTAGTTAGCCATTCATCCAATCTTTTCTCAAGGTTTTCGGCTTCTTTGCAATGGGTTCAAACATCCTCCTTTAGCTCAGAGAAGTCTGTTATTACTGATCTTCTGAAGCCTTCTTCTCTCAAGTCGTCAAAGTCATTCTCCATCCAGCTTTGTTCTGTTGCTGGCAAGGAGCTGCGTTCCTTTAGAGGAGAAGAGTTGCTCTGATTTTTAGAATTTTCAGCTTTTCTTCTCTGGTTTCTCCCCATCTTTGTGGTTTATCCACCTTTGGTCTTTGATGATGGTGATGTACAGATGGGGTTTTGGTGTGGATGTCCTTTCTGTTTGTTAGTTTTCCTTCTAACAGTCAGGACCCTCAGCTGCAGGTCTGTTGGAGTTTGTTGTAGGTCCACTCTAGACCCTGTTTGCCTGGGTATCACCAGCAGAGGCTGCATAACAGCAAATATTGCAGAACAGCAAATGTTGCTGCCTGATCCTTCCTCTGGAAGCTTCGCACCGGACGTATGAGGTGTCAGTCAGCCCCAACTGGGAGGTGCCTCCCAGTTAGGCTACTCAGGGGTCAGGGACCCACTTGAGGAGGCAGTCTGCTGTTCTCAGATCTCAAACTCTGGGCTGGGAGAACCACTACTTTCTTCAAAGCTCAGTTGGAAATGCAGAAATCACTATCTTCTGCGTTGCTCACGCTGGGAGCTGTAGACTGGAGTTGTTCCTATTTGGCCATCTTGGAACCTCCCCCGAGAATCCACATTTCTAGGAAGCTCCCGGGGAGGCTGCGGCTAGCCTGGGGACTGCACTTTAAGGATCACTGCTCCAAGAATAAACTGCTGGCTTGTTTTGGAGTTTTCATCTTTCCTGGGGAGAGGCCAACTGCCCAGGGCACACAGACGGACAGATGATCCTGAGGACCTGTCTCATAATTCAGCATTCAAGCCTCCAGATCCACTGTGTTTCAGTCAGCGGCATTCCTCCCCTAATGCCACTTGCAGCCAGTTCCTGGGCCACGTTGGAGTTTTGAGATGTAACTCAGGCAGGTTCTCAGCTCCGCCCGCTGCCGGCTTAGATTCTGGTTTCCCGAGTCTACTCAGTCCTCTCACAGCTCACCCGCCCATTCCAGATTCCAAAAGTCTGCCTCTGTATCCTCTCCCTCTGTGGGGTTAGACCTTACATAAAACAGAAGCCTCCACCATCACTGTGATTTCTGGGGGCACAGACATGAGCTGCATCAGCCACTGGGGCCTGGACACCTGATCCATCCTCACCTCCTGGCAGCGCGATGTGGTGTAGCCTTGCCGATCCCAGGCTCATCCTCCCCTTCCCGCTTCCAGACCATGCTGGCCCTGACTTCTCCACAGTCAGCTTGGACATGCCTCTCCACACCCCACGCTCCCTATCAGCCAAGGCCGGGACACCTGTCACAGCCAGATGCTGACCACCCGCGTGTCCAAGACTCCCAGAGACCCAGACGACAGGGGAACGAACAGACGAGCAAACCCGAGACGCACAGAGACCCAGACGACAGGTAAGGAACAGATGAGCGAACCCGAGAGGCCCAGGGACCCAGACGACAGGTAAGGAACAGATGAGCGAACCTGAGAGGCCCAGGGACCCAGATGAGAGGTGAACAAACAGATGAGCGAATGGGCCCACAGCCAAGGCACCGGCCCGTGACAGCAGGAAACGGAAGGCCCTTCCCAAATCCTCTCCCAGGGTGCAGTGCCACCAACAAACATGGCTCCAAGTCTGCATGCTCAGCTCCAAACTTGCCCATAACACCTGCAGAATGCAGCAGGGAGAGGGAGCCACGGCTGAACGAGAAGCGGGGCTGGGGATGTGGGGGCTCAGGCCCTCACAGCCACAGTGGAGACCGGGAACAGCCCTGATGTGGGTGGGGAGCTGGAAAGGAGCCCCCAACTGCCATCAGCTTGCCCCTCAATCTGGCAAGACAGGCCTCCCCTTCTGGTTGTTGTCCTCCATCCCCACCATGCTACTCCAGAAGGGCGGACCACCCAAGAGCCAGTCACCAAGCCCCTACCTGCTGGCAAGGTGCGCCCAGACGCAGGGCAGGCTTGGCTTATGGGGGTGGGGCACGAAGAGCGAGGGAAGCCCTCACCTAAGACCCTCCCCACAAAGGATCGCAGAGGACAATCACTCCTGATACATCCGCCTCGGTGCTGGGCTGCAGGAAGGGGAAAAGCGACCGCCACACAACCTCTGCACCGGCATGCTCACGGGGAATGCTCTCCCACAGTACAGGGTGCGACGGCAAGTAGGTGGGAAGAAACAGGAGAGGGTGTCATTGGATGAAAAGCGAGTATGAAACCAGCGCAAGATGCCAAAGGCCAGAAAGCAGCAGCCTCCAGGTCCCACCACAGATGACCCCGCGGGCACCCCCAAGGGAGGGGGCTGATGGTCGGGTGGCTCAGACACAGGAGCGAGGGGATGCCAGGCCATGCTCCAGGCTGCTGCTAAGGGCTGGGCAGGGAACCCTCCCCCAGATGCCCCCAGAACCAGGAGCATGGGGCGGTGCCCAGCTCCCTCCAACAGCAGAGAGCAACACAGGGGGCAGCGGTCTCCTAAGCCCCACAGCCTCCGTGGGGGTGTGGCCTGCACAGTGACTCTGGGCTCCCGGCCCTGCTCCTCCAAGGGCGCCCTGCGGAGTGGACACAGCCCTGGCAGCACCCTCCAAGGCTCAGCGTGGGCAGAGCCCAGCACCACCTCACCACATCAGGGGATAGGCCAGCAGGCCAAAGGCCGCGGGCCTCACTTAGACCTGGAGGGTGCGGGCAGGCCCCACTGGCCCTCGTGGAGGCCCCACTCTTCCCTGAAGCGCCGCAGGCCTTCGCTGCAAAGGGCTCTCTGGACTCCGTGAGGTGCACTTAGGCTGGTGAGAGATGGACTTGTTTTTGGAAAGGATTAGATTTACTTGTGATTAATGGGGTGTGTATAAACTGACAAATGATACAAATTTGTTTAAGAGCCTAAGACTTCAGCCCCTTGCTTCTCTACTGCTGCCTGCAAACTCGGACGGCTCCACCTGTTTGCACAACCCCCCAGGTGCATGGGGACACGGGGCCGGAGTGCTCTGCTCCAGCAACCACCAGGCCTGGCTGCCCACAGGGGAGGAGAGACCCTCTGGGGATGACAGGCAGGTGATGGCCAGAGGCTGCCCCAAGGGCACGCAGATGGACCTACCCACAGAAGGTCGAAGATGGCGGGGGCCGGGGGTGGGGGGTGCCTACCTGCCACCTCCTTGGATGATGGCAGACTCGCAGCAGCAGCCTCAAGGTCGGTGGGGACGGTGCCTCCTCTCTCCATGGCACGCAGGAGCCCTCGCAGTCGCTCGCACTCTGCCTGCAGCTGGCTGTGGTCCTCGCGCAGGCGCTGCCTGGCCACGCTGGTGGGGTTCAGGCTCATGTGCAGCACTTTGGTCCTGCTCTGGTCGTAGTCACCCTGCAGGAACACACACAGCACGGGTCACCACGGCCCAGACACACACGCGGCACGGGTCACACGCGGCACGGGTCATACGGCCCAGGAAGACACACGGCACAGGTCACACGCAGCACAGTGCTCGGTTCTTTTGTCTTCTTGAGCCTACCTGGCAGCCATCTCTCCTTGAAGGAATGGCTTCTTCCCTGTGCCCTGTGGACAGGTACAGGACCAAGGCCTGGCCACCTGCTGGGTCCCTTCTGCCTAACCACAGGAAGAGGGTGAGAGGGGACACGTCCCTGGCTCAGCTAAGCGCAGCGCTTCCCGGAGTTCCATGCTTAGTGCCTGGGAGGGAGGCTTCCTCTCCTGAGGTTTCTGGCTGGAAGGAGGCTTGGAGCCTGTGTGGCCATGTTCCTATCTCTTCCCGACCAGCCTGGAAGGTGCCCCGTGCCACAAGAGAAACAAGGTCAACCACAGAGATGGAGGGCGAGGGAGCCTGGCACCGGCATGGGTGGCTCAGGAACGTGCCTTGCGACCTGATGTTCCTGTGAAACCCAGGGCGGGGACGTGCGTGGCATCCTTGAGGGAGGAGTGCGCCTGGAGGCCCAGCCTGCCGACCTGTGGTAGGTGACCGACCCCCAGCAAGGAGCACCATGCAGCCCTGCAGCAGGGGACAGCCACCTGGGGCAGGGGACAGCCACCCGGGGCAGGGAAGTGCAGGGTCACTGCACACCCCGAGACCATGACCTCACGCCACACATACACATCAGTTCCACCACGTTCTGTCTCCTGGGAGTAGACACAGGCTTCTCAAACGGTTCAGGAAGTGGTGGCCGTAAAAGAAAAAAAAAAAAAAAAAGAGTACAACTGACCTTATACAAGTCAAGAACTTCATCCACCGCAACAGTGGAAAGGCACCCACACAGCAGGAGGTGTTGTCTGAAAATCACATTTCTGAGAAAGGGTTCAGATCCAGAACATATGAAGAACTCAGAAATAACCAAGGGCATGTCAGACAACCCACTCTAAAAATGGGCAAAAAATGTCAGTAGACACTTCCCAAAGAGAGACACCCAAAAAGCTGATAAACACATGAAAAGGCGCACACACATGGGCCCAGGTCGGGGCCAGTGGCACACACACACCCACACGCACCCGGGTCGGGGCCAGCGGCGCACACACACACACACGGGCTAGGACCGGGGCCAGAGGTACACACACACACAGGCCAGGGCCAGGGCCAGAGGCGCGCGCGCACACACACACACACACACACGGGCCCGGGTCGGCGCCAGCGGCACACACACACACACACGGGCCAGGGCCAGGGCCAGAGGCACACACACACACACGTGGGCCAGGGCCGGGGCCAGCGAAACACACACACACACACGCGGGCCGGGGCCAGAGGCGCACACACACACACACACACACACACACACGGGCCAGGGCCGGGGCCGGGGCCGGGGCCAGCGGCACACACACACACACACGCGCGCGCCCGGGTCGGGGCCAGCGGCACACACACACACACATGCGGGCCAGGGCCAGAGGCGCACACACACACACACGCGGGCCAGGGCCGGGGCCAGAGGCACACACACACACACACGCGGGCCAGGGCCAGAGGCACACACACACACACACGCGGGCCAAGGCCGGGGCCAGCGGCACACACACACACACACATGCGGGCCAGGGCCAGGGCCGGGGCCAGCAGCGCACAGACACATGGGCCAGGGCTCCCGCCAAGCGCTGAGACTCTGCTGCTCGTGGCTGCCAGCTGTGGGGTGGTGAGACTGGGTGGGCACCCCGTCTCTCAGGCCCAGACGCCACCAACCCCCGTGAACGAGGGGTGCGCCAGCGAGCCAGGCCAGCCCCGTGCTTAGCGATGGCCTCCTCCCCTTTGGCAATGAGTTGCCGCCGCCCTTGGGGCTTCTGCCCACGAACTGTCCTATCTCCCAAAGGGGAACAGGGAAACATGTCGTGTGTTCAGGTCACCCCACGCTCTCAGGAGGACACACCCCACGAGGTGAAGCGACCAGGAGCAGTAAGCCTCCAGCCTCCCAGAGCCCAGGCTGCGGTGGGCCACTGCTCTCCAAGTCCCCGAAGAACGGCGAGGCCTGGCCTGGGCTGTGCCCACTGCAGGGCGCCTCAATGGGGCCGGAGCCCGTCAGCTGTGGGCAATCGTGGTCCCAGAGCCCAGAATGTGCTTCCCACAGGGAGGGAGGAGGGAATGGGGAAGAAGGGAAGAGACCTCACCCCTCCTGGTGCCACCCCGGACTCTAAGACATCCCCCTGACATCACGTCACACAAGCTAACGGCTGGCCCTGCCACCCCCGCCTCACGGAAGAGGCCAGTGGAGATGGACACGCTGACCTGGACCAGGGACCCCTGGCCCCACGGAACGATGGCAGAGGCCGCCGCAGAGGGAAGCAGGTTTGCAGACATGGCTCGCTTGGCTGCTCCCTCTGTGCTTCTCCTGGGAAGAAGGAGGGGAGGGGAAATCCACCCACTCAGGCCCAGGGGAGAGGGAGGCGGCAGCCCCGCCGCTGGGCCAGGGCGGGAGAGAATCTGCGCAGCTCTTCACTGGTTTTCTGAGAACCTTGTAAACCTCAGAGGATGAAGAGACATCTTGTAACTCTGGCTGAATCACAGACTCTTGGGGTTGAAAGGATTGCTACTTCACTCAGTTTGCACAGCCGGGGTAAGAAAACCCAGTGTGCAGAATCCAGCCACCCACACAGGCTCAGGAGGCCCCTCTGAAGCACGGCACTGGCTTTCCGGGGCCTCTGAGGGCTGGACGGCATCTCAACCTCTCCACCATCCTACGGAGCCGGAGCCTCGAGGAGCCACGGAGGATGCGGACGGGGGCGGGGCCGCCTCCTGCGGAGACCAGCCCATCACAGGGCTGTGCAGTCATCCCACCCCCATCCTAACCACGCGGCACTGCAACTGCACCCAGAAAGCAGCCGCGGGGCACACGAGGCCAGCATGGGCCCCGCTGATGGAACTGCGGGCACGGAAACATGACTCTGAATTTCAGATAACTCGCGTGTGTCCCAAAATAGTCTTCTTTTGATTTTCTTCAACCCTTTAAAAATGTACAACAAGTCTTAGTTTAGGGGCTGCACAGCAGGCGGGGCTGTAGTCAGCTGAACCCTGGCAAGGACGAGGCCGCACGGCGTGGACTCAGCCCTCCTCTGACCCAGAGCAGTGAGACCCTCCTCCCCTAGGCCTCACCCTCCTCTTCCTCCCCTAGGCCTCACCCTCCTCTTCCTCCCAGGCTAAAACACTGCTGACCTCCTGAAGGGGCCTCCAGATGGGAGGAGGTAGTGACCATCCTAGAGGCTGCCCAGCGAGGCCTCACCTGGCCCCAGCGAACTCCCACTTAGCAGACAGGTGGGCTTGCCAGAGGGGCGGGGGCTCAGCGGTGGCACGCCCAGCGCTGGCGTTGGACCCAGCAGTGCCTGAGGATGTCGAGTTCCCCGGGGTTGATGTCCTGGCAACGCTCAATGTTCCACGGGCAGGAACGAGAGCCAGAGGTGCAGCCCCACCCCCAGCCAGGGTGCCCCTGACCGGTCCATCATCCTGGGGTGAGGTTTCCCCCTTGATGGGGGGCTTGAAGTACAGGAAACAATTCTGCATATCAGAGGATGTAATGACCAAAAGCAGGAGCCAGTAGAGATGAAGGAAACCAAATCAAAACAGAGAGAAGATAAAACTGAGACGTTCTTCTTTAATGCCCATCCTGTCACCCTCCGGCCAACAGGGCAGCGCACTGCACTGCTGGCCCCGCTGGGGGCAAAGGCTTGTGTGTGCAAAGCCACCGTGTCCAGGCTGGGACCAACCCCCAGGCGTGTCCTCCTCAGCGCCACGCATGCAGCACCAGGTCCTGCTCTCCCAGAGCCACAGTGAGGCTCCCGTGGCCCGGCTTCCACCTGCAGCAGGAGGCCCTGGGTCACAGAGAGCATTCACTGGGCACCTGCGGCCGGGGCGGAGGGACCTGCCAATGGCACCGCTCACTGACCAGGGCTGAGAACAAGCCTGGGCTCCATAACTGGTGGTGTGGACAACCCACCTCCCAGGAGGGCCAAGGACAGGCAGGACGGGCGCTAGGGCTCTGTGCAGACGGCAACATTCCGGGCAGCTACTCGCCTTTCTGTAAGTTCAGGGGACTTTCCCTGCCTAACGCCTGGAGAAGGCAGAGCCCCTAGAGGCAACACGGGAGGGGCAGACTGGGCACCACCCACCCTCTCACGTCCCCACCGTGATTGTGGGCCAGGCTCTTGACCTCCATGGGTTTGTTCCTGCCATCCTTCCTTCCTCCCCTCTGTCCATCCAACGACACACCTGTCCATCTGACATGATTTCCAGGCCCTGGACGCTCTCAGCACAGCTGTGAACACAGTGGTGGAGCCGCCACTCACGACAGCAGCTGGTATCCCACAGAGGGGCCTCCTGGGCCATACTCAGCACGTGGAGGGGACGTTCCCGGCCCTTCCAGGAGGAGGCCACACCTGAGCCCCTGGGGGCCCAGAACTTCTGCTCCAGGTGAGACAGGGCCGTGCCCCAAGCGGGCTGACCACAGCCGGGGGCGGTGCAGAGTCAGGCACACCATTCCGTGCCTCGGAGCCTGCGCGTCACACATTTCAGCAGGTGCTGGAAGCGCAGGAGTAATGGGAGCCCTGCGCTAAGGCCTGTCTCCAGGGCAGCCGAGTGTCGGGATGAGGACGGCCCTGTGTCCTATACAAACAGCACCACTCCTGCACCTGCCCCACCAAGAGGAGCCATTCAAACGCACAGGCAGCAAAGCAGCACGGGAGGAAACTAGGCGGGATCTAGGGGATCAGGAAACATCCCATGTCTCGGATCAGAAGACTTGGCGCTGTCGGGACCAACCAATCTGCACATCTGGGACACTCCCAGGACTCAGCCGGCCTCCCTGAAGAACGGACAAGCTGATTCTGAAACTCACAAGGAACTGCAGGGGCTCAGAACAGCCACCGCAGGATTGAAA